ATGATTATACAGCATTATAAAATAAATTTGTTGCTAAGAAAAAAAATTTTTTAGTTCAATGAATTGATGCGTATATGAAATATAGAATTTCAATAAATAAAATATCATTATTTCTGGTTAGTGTTTTTTTTTGTTAGCGAGTTAGTTTTCTATGGGATAGATTCGCTAACTCTATGCCCAAACCTCTTCTTTTTACCCGAGCTTGGGACTAGCAGTAACTTTGGAAATGCTACACATGAAGTGCTGGTGGGCGGCATATGCTCCTCTAAGAGGAGTAACAGGCTTGAGTAAGTAAGTAATATCATCATTACTTAAATATTAACTAATTAGTGACTTATTTATTTATTATAAAGTACTTATTGATAAAAATAAACTTTACTAATGACTTATGGAAACTAAAAATAACTTGGAGAAAGTAGAGTTAAATATTAACTAATCAGAAATTAGATGATAGTATTGAATTATTTATATTGATTAATCGAAAAAAAAAGGAAACATTCTGGTTAAGAATTTTGAATTTTAAATGAACATTAAAACAACCCAATATATGTACACTATGCACAGAGAAGAAATATAGGTAACCATTAGAATCGAAATGTTATTTAATGTTTACAAATCATTAGATATATAGGGAAATAATTCTTTTAATAGAAAATAAAGAATCAGAGATGTTTATGTAATATTTATTGTATTAGTGAAATTAATTTTTTAATGATACTCTAATTTCAACAATAATCACATGTCATAGATAGAATGAAAGAGTCATTATTGGATTTGATTCAGTTAGATTAGACTAGTAAGTTAACAACCAAACAGATAATGATATAATGCAATACCATGAATATAGATGAATAGTGAGTGCTTATAGAATTATTACAATTATCTATATAGAAAGAGATATGAGTTCAGGTTTCGTCATACTATTAAATAACTAGTTGTCATATGATTCTCTAGTATAATATGGGATTTCATATAAGTAGAGCCTGTTATAAACTTGTATTGTACAATGAATCATAAGTTTAAAACGACCTAAGAAGTAGATTATTTATAAAACAGATTTTAAATCAAATAGGAAGTATTGGAGAAAACCACTTTCTTCTTAAGGAAAACTATAATCATGAATGAAGTGACACAAAACAATTTGAATATGAAGATGATAGTTAGATCAATTAATAGGTCACGTTTGAATCAAATAACGAATGGGAAATTAACGAATCAGCATTTGCACAATTGTCGATCAATGATCTTTAGCTTAAAATACTTGTTTTCATGTAGTTTAGAAAGTAAATAAGTGTAACTCCCCAACCACATATATATCATTCTTAAACTCAGTGAATTTACGTACTGCAAGCATTAGGATGGTGCTCTATTATCAAGAGGATCTGTGGAACTCAAAATCTCACACTATCAACTCCTAATTCTAATTCTCAGATTATTTTAATCTGAACTCAGTATTATTGCTTATTGTTATTGACAACTTTTATTATTTAATATAAGTACACGTTATATGTTTTCTCAGTCATTAGTTCACATCTCCTATTTTTCTCTTTAACAAATTCACTCTCACACATATTATTCTTCATGTAAATTCAATGTGCAACATATCTTTAAAAACTACATCGAAAAATGATGATACGTAATCATGTATCATTGGCACTTATACCATGATCGATAATTTGACATTTTCATCAAACACCTACATTTTAGACAATGATATTATGGGGGCGATCGGTATATATATAATCTTAACTATTCTTTCAATAGTAGTATTATTCAGACACAACATGATATGATTAAAGATAGTGATGAAAATAGAAGCTTTATCACCTGATCTCATGATCATCATAATTACAAAATAAAACAAAACAAAGTAACGCATGCCAATTGTGTATTTGCATAGTGAAATAAATATTTTTAAATAGAGAAAATAGATATTGATAATCACTAGGTCACAGGTTATCATAGACTATGTCTACTTTAGATCTAAGAGTAGTACTACTAGCTTTAAATGAATTTTCACACTTTTACACTAACATTTATGTATGGTCATAGGAAATTATATTGTTCAACAAATTATGGTGTATTATTTTATTACTAGTGGAATTCAATACATCTATTATACGGACACACACTCACTCATTGAGTATTTCACCATGAACAGTATAAGAACACAGATAATGTTAACTATTATAAAAAAAAGCTTTGTAAAGTGTACCAAACAGAAAGGTCATTTATACTATTGACGATTAAAATGACAAAACGTTGACAAATGAAAAGAATAAATCATTAATAGATGAATTACCAAGTGAATGATAAATTACAACTGTATAAATTGTGTCGCATAAAATATTAACATTCTAAACAATTCATGTAAATACTTCTCTCTCTTTAGTAAATATGAAACATTTGAAGTACAATTGGATAGAAACAACTGATCTACTTACTTTCTGATATCTAAGATCACCTTTCAATTTACAAGAAATATGTATATTTCTTGTAACAAAATATCATTAGAAAAGATAGACACATATTTAGCTAATTTACCGAAGTTACAGACAAATAGCTACAAACCATATTCTAAATCTAACTATTACCGATAATACTTGTGTTATATCCGGACAAGTGGTAACTGCTAGGATTTATTTATGAGCTATTATTATGTATATTTTCTTGTTGTATAACTACTAAGTAACTACATTATATGTGAATTTATATTCCTTTTATTATGAGCTTTTATTTGATTTATTGACTGTTATTATACGATATACTATTCTTAAGTTATTCCCGATTTATTAGTTACAGTCTCTCACAATCACAGCCAATTTTTAGATTGATCTTGTATAATTTTTATTTTCTATTTTATGATGTGATGCGGTCGGGTTTGTTTTTATGTAAGCCCAGTATATCTGAAATATATTATTTGTATAATGGAGGTTGATATTAGCGTTCTGGACTGAACCGGCTGGGTTAGAAGAGAAGCTACTATCTTAGGGACCAATAAAAACTTTGAATTGCTCGCACTGGTCTGTATCATTGGCCTAGTCAGTAAATCGGTGTTCTAATTGACGATCATATCATACGATAATTAACAGGTGATATGAACATAACAATTTGGTTGCTCAAACTACTGGTTTAGATGAAGCAGAATTAGAATTTATGACTTGATCAGACATTGCAGTCAAGAACATACTACTTTAAAAGATAAACAATGTATCCCAACAGAACAGAATTCCCTATTCAGCATTAATAGCCCCCCAAAAAACAATAAACCATATTCTGTATACATATATCATACAAATTTATCATTTACGACAGCTGTATTATTTAGTTAAATTTATTAACCTGGTAAACTACTAGCGATAATGTTCAACAACAAAAAAAATCAAAGTCAATCACTTCCAAAGTTCCAAACACTAAAGATAATAAATATTTCTGGTAGTTCTGACTTCTTTTTTGTAACAATCTATTGTATCTCTTAATGGACAAATTTAATCATCATTACACTGTTTACAAACTAACAACCATTGAGAACCAATTGAAGTTCACTATCATTTATATCTAAAAACAGCTGTAATTATACGGAAGTATTTTTTTAACAGAATACGGTTGTTAACCCAATTCTATCTAGAAACAAACAAACAAACAACCAATAAATTTATATTTTTTTTAAAAAAAACATCTTTTTCATAAATAGAAGCAATGGAAATAAGACAAAAACAAGGTTACTTTATTTTACAAGTAGACACATACTCATACATACGCACACACACACACGCATACAATCGAGATATGAGGGAAAAAGAATGAGAATTTAGTACTGGCGCCAAAGAATCACTTAATTTTTTTTCTGAGAAAGAAACAAACAAACATGTGCAAATGTAAATTTATGGGATCGTTTTAAGTTGGCTGAAACGTTTTCAATGTTCAACAGATGTATTGTATTCAGTATTTTCGGTTACTATTTATCCCGTTTATTGAATGAGTGAATATTGTACATTACGACGTAAATTTTATCAAAAATTATATTTTAAGTGACCAGAATTATCCTCAATTGTCTACTATGAATCTACAATTGTAGCACACTAGAATACATCGAATAAAGGACATAAATATGGTGGAGGTAAGAGCTTGCAATGAAATCTCTGTATTATATTTCATGAACCAGGAGAATACAATTTGAAAGAACATTAGTCAGCATTAGCATAATGTATTCAATGATTCATTTTACACCAACTTCCAAAATTTTATTTACGGCTCCCTAGCATCATGATTACTGAATGTTAGAAATATTATCTTTGGATGAATAATAAATACCATAAATATTTCTGGCATTATTGATTCTTTCTCATTAATTTGAAGTAAAAACCTTCTGTAAATCACGGAACCAGTTCTTTGGAGGTCACCTACTCGTATTTTGTTGCCATTAATTTATCTTATTTTCTGAATGCTATCTGTCATTCAAAGCAGATATACGATCCGGAGATCAAGGTAGAAACCACAAGTCTATGAGATGTTATGGTGTATGATTCAAATAATCACTCTGAGTCTTACAGACTCAACATCACATGCACTAAATATAGATGTTTCGTGCTCTAAAATATTGATCTCATTTCAACTCGATGGATAGAATTCAATCAATAATACAAGACTAGACAAACATCATATAATTACTACTCAATAAATAATGTGTTAAAAATACCTCAGTCTTACACCAGATCAATTAAGGCTTGGATACCTATAAATCTGAGTGAAACTTGTTCGAAACCTTAGAGACGTGTCATTTCCCTTAACAATGCAGATGCACTTCGTTTACAAGAAGCAGACAGTGCGAGACAGAAGTTCAAGTTTTCCGACCGGCTACTTCCAACTTCCTAACGTCTGAAGGTACATATTGATATACATCAATCTATCTATTTGCAAATATCGGTTTATTAGTGTAAAAAACATTGGTAAATGATTTCTTGAATATTCTGTCGATATATATATAAGTGTGAACATACCTGAAAGAAAGCTGCAATTCGTGCATGATTTTTACAGGCTTGTAAACGTTGGCGAATACGTTTTTGTGCATATAAAAAATGGCCATATAACTGAGATAAAGATGAAAGACTTTCTTGGTCAAACTGAACAAAAATAAAGATTAAGACAAAAAAAAGTGACATTTATAAAATTCATAAATTGATTCAAACAAACAATATAATCAATAATGTTGACTAAAATACATTAAAAACAACAGTATACTACTGTATTTTCGCAAATTTGTGTGCATAAGATTATTATTTCACAATGTTAAAGTAATAACAAGTTGTTATGCAATGTTATATTGACAATATAAAAAAGTACAAGTATTAAATCACTATGCAAATTAATTAAAAATCTCGTTCAAATCCAATAACATCAAAGAGTAAACAATTTTAAAGTAAGTAGTTGGTTTATGGAGATGTTACTGATTCTACAATGATTTAAGTCAACTAACATTACATACTTATTATTATTATTAATACTATTGTTTGGTGAATAGATATACGTCAATATGACAGATTTAGTTTCTAAACCTGTTTAATTTGTATTATTCACAGTTTCTTATTCTTAGTTATCTAGTCGAACAAGTGTAACAATCGTTTGAGCTCAGTGGTCTGGAGGTTAAGCTATCACGCGCGAAATCGTGGATGAGCACTGTTGTGGAGTCCCACAACAGGACAAAACGGCCGTCTGGTAGTTCCAGGTTTTAATGATGGTCTAACATCAATCGGCTAATGATCTCAATAAAAAAAGTCCATTAAATCCCCCCAAATGCTCTGTTACGGCTGAGAGTGGAGAGAATCCGCTCCAACTATCAAAATGCTCTCACATGGCCACGCGTATAAAGCCTTTGTCAGGGAAGTCCTACTCACTGCCTTCACGTCACAATAATATTGTTTACGAAATTGAGAGGACGGAAAGCCAATGTCCGCGCACTAACCGGGTTGGTGGATATGGAGAGTCCACCTAGGGGAGTGCTGTTGGAAAACCCTCATTCCAAACCAATGGTGCACATGGGTTACAAAATCCTGAAGGAACAATTGGCGTGTAAACCAATCGTTGGACGCCGGCTACCATAGGACTGCACCTCCTTACCATGCTCCACTGCCCTATGGATTAGACCTTTAGGTCAAAGGCTCCAGGTGTGGCCCCCTCAGAAAACCACCTGCTTCGGTTTGTGCACCCGGGCAGCATCATAGCCCTCACACATATCAAATGAGATTGTGTGGCGCATATGTATTTGGTGCCTCCTTGTACCAATATCTATGTGTTCAAGTAAATAAATAATTTGATGTAAGCCAAAAATAAATAAATGCAAGGACAATCATTTTATAAAAAGAATATTGTGTTACAAAATTAAAAACTCACTAACTGCACCAAATAAGCTCCTAATGATGGTATAATATGATCATCACGTTCTAGATGTAAACCAGCTAGAACACGAAATATTTTCTCATGAGAAGCAACAAGTTCATTAATACATGGGAATAAAGCTGTACATAAATCTGTATCTCCTAATAAATGATCCGTAGATAAACCAATTACTGAATTAACATCAACTTTCGGAAAAGGTTTCATATATAAATCTCTAACAATAAGTAACATATCTACATATCCACGTTCAGAAAATACGAGTTCTGTAAAAAGTAAATAAAGAAACGGATGATTTACAAGAAATAAACAGAAGCAACCATCGAGATTTTATCAAATACGGCCCAGAACAGAAGCCAATAGTAATCCCACAATAATTTCCATTTGTTTGCCTCACAGATCTGATCAACAGTAGGGAAAACTTGGCGTATTCCTAAGGACTAAGGATATTTTCTCGATATAACTTTACTAATTTCTTTCTCTTTTATCGTTAAACATAGCTAGGTTTTTACCTGGAGATATCAGTGATCCACCACTACACGATACGGAAGCCTGTTAACCGAAGGCTTCTTTCATTCCATCCACAACCATTTAAAACCATTTCAGAAAATGAGAGAAACTTCTTTACTCGAAAGACTTCTTACGAAATGTTTTGTTTTTACTGACAAACAGACAAATATTTTCAACATAGAACTTGGCACAAATATGAGTTGGCTCATGTTGTCAGTTGGTTAGTATAACAAGATAAATAAACGACTAAAATAATAAAGAACCAATAGTACAAAGAAAGATCAAACCTTGAGAAAGATTGAGAAGGAATACTGAAATTTAATATTGAAGGGAGGGAAAAAGTTAATGCACCTGAGCAATTATGAATGTAAGCTGAAATAGTTTAACTCAACTATCTTACTGGATAATTGGTATTTAAGAAATGAATATTTTCATAGTTTAAATCACGAACTGATCTTAGCTAAATCATCACTAAAAATCCAGAAAATCGAACCAAGCACTTTAGGTCTCGTGTGCCAACGCTTGACCTTTAGACCAGTGAGCTGGCATTAAACGAAATACATATCTGGCTTGAATCAATTCACGATATTGCGAAACCTTTATCCATTGCATGCGGTTGATAAATGTCTCACACTCAACGTAATTAAACTCCGCTAGTTAATAGAACTTCTATAATTGCATCTTAAGGCTAGTCACTGGAGAGCAAATGATTGTTAAATGTAGCATAAGGAGCTTTTTGGAGGTTGCAGAATTTTTTCGTAAGCTAAACTACTAAAGAAAACCTGGAAGCACTGGATGGTTGTTCCGTCCTAGTATAGGAATTCTTAGAAATATGAACGATCCGATAAGTTTGTTACTTCAACCATAACAATTTTACGATCTCCACAAACCTTCCTATACTAAAACAGATATTTCTATGAGAAATAGAACGGCCACACCCATTCTGATTTATTTAGGCTACTGACTAGTGTACTGAACAGATCAATGGAAATCTATTATTTACTGTTTCAGGGGAAAATATGAACGGAAAAGTGTAACATATATAATATCTGTAGCAAATTGTTTAAAGCAACAATCTATGCACGAAAATCAGTGTGAGAAAACCAGTAACTAAATGTATAGGTGTGCAGTTGAACTAATTCATAACGGCAGTCGTTCGGTACAGAAGAAATAAATTGTTTACAGATGCCACTAAAAAAGAACCTAATATAATTTACAGACATTTAAAAATTCGTGGAATTTAACTATACGACAATAAGAATGATATAAATGGGAAAATAAGAATCATCAAAACACTTAAATTATGACGTGCTCGCTTAGAAACCTTACCATTCTATACATCAGTCAAAAAAAGCATGAGATTGTTGCTAGTTAAGGAAAATATTTGCATTTGTTCTACATATATGCTCGGCAAATTTCATTCAGATGATTGTGAAACACAGAAAATGAACTGAAGTTATCAGAATAAGTAATCGGATGCCAACTCAGTAATTTAAAGCTTAGGCGCTTATTGAGAAGCACCAAGGTCATGGGTCCGATTCCCGGCAGGTGGTGAATGTACATTGTTAATCTCCATGTTATAATAAAATACCTATCCGGTGCTTCTTGGTTTTTAGTGACCGCTTAACTAACTTAAGTCCATGTGGTAAAATACGAAATCACTGATTTCAAATCAAGTCAAAAAAAAGAACAATTAACGCATAAACATGAATTAAAATAACAGGATATTAAAGTGAACACCTTAGCTTTTAAGTGAATAATTCTGATGGAATTAGTTTAGAGATTTAGGATGAACAACTAAAAACATTAGTTAATAAAGATCGAATCATGTGAACAGAATAAATACTAAGAAAAGAGATGATAAGAAGGTGTAATTTTAATAAGAAATCATTTATAAAAAGTGAATTTAAATGAGTTAAAAAAATAGAAAAAGAAGTTTATCTCGATTTCCCGATACATCGATCAACAACATTCTGTACCAATGTACTATTTTTACAGGACACAAACAGAAAAGTTGATACTTCATGAAACCTATATATGTATGTGATGTGTGCTACTTATGTTGACAGATACAAGTAGTATGTAACACCAATCAGCAGTGAAAGATTGAATTGAAGAGAACAAGAATGTAAACAGAGAGCAATTTCAATAACAACTGACTTGAAAGAATCATGAAGCATGTAAAGGAAAACTGAAGGAAGATTTGCAAACCGTGTGTTTTTTAATATGCGGTTTTCATATTTTACGATCATACTCTGTGAAAAGATAGGGGTTGGAGGTAGTCAACAGGAAACCCTAGACCTACTTTTTGTGCTACTTGGCACTCCTCAGCAAGGTGTACCTGTAATCTTGAGGGAACTGATGCTCTCTGATGAAGTCGATCCCATGTCACACAGTCAATCGTGGCCCGGATAGCTCAGTGGTAATATCACTGACTGTGAAGCTGAGTAACACACGATCGAATCCGTCTGGGAGCATCAATCTCCTCAAGATTACAGGTACACCTTGCTGACGAGTGCAAAGTAGCACGAAACCTAGATTCAGGGTTCCCTGTTGACTACCTCCAATTACCACCTTATCTCAACGTAGTGCATGCAATGTCGCTTCACCTACACTGGTGACCACATTACAACATGGTCGATAGAATTCGATCTGCACTAAGAAGGACCTGATATACATGAAATTGATCACCACCCAGTGATCAATCAATTGTAAACATTCTGTAATTTTGTATTAAGCAATAAATTGGTTTTCCTGACATGACGTCTTCGTTTACATTAGGTATATAATATATACAATTATTTATTCGAAATTGTCAAAATTTCATTATTCCAAAATAAAACAAAATTAATAACATAAAAATGTCTGACTTCAAAATTATTTGTTTCATGATTATTTATGAATAGAATAGATTTACTGGAATTAAGAAAAAAAAAAAGAAAAAGTCGAATGTGTGCAGAAAATGCTTTTACAAAATTGTAATAAGAATTGTGCTATCACGTAATGAACTATTTACGTATTCAAAAAAAAAGAGCATTATTTTTTATTATATCACTACTCACTAGACAACAACATGTGACCAGTTTGATCGATTATGTATTTCGTTCAAACAAATCAATATTCTCAATACAATTGATAAGATCTGATTATGAATAAACTTCATTTTGATTAAGCACATACATGATCAGTATGTAAAACCGTATATATCTTAGTTTATCTAGTGTACAAAACATATAAATCAATCAGTTTTTTATTGACAGTTGTTTTGAAATCCGTATGTACTTCAACTGTAGGAATGCTTCTCATGATTTGCCAATCATCGCTTTTACATCTGCATTCGATCCTTCCTGTTTATCGATGATGCTGGCCTGACAAGTGGGTGTTTCCACCTCTTCCAAAGTTTCTCCATTAAGTGTGACTGTGTTGGTGTTTTCCGTGTTTTTTCCGTTGTGTATATTGAGGTCTAGTGATGCAGAGGCTTCTGCTAGACTGGTTGGCTTAACCTACATTTGATTGTGGGTATGCAATAGAAGTGCTAGGTCATCTGCGAAATCCAAATCATCTAGTTGCATCCAAGTCAATTAATGCGATAATATAAATTAATATTTTGCGCTCACAACACATACAAACACAACTCAATTAAAGAAATATCATATTTACTCAGTTGAATGTTAGGAACTTCAGAAGAACACAATACCTACACATATACTTTTAAAGAGTTATTATAAATATTTAGTAAAAAGGATGATAAACCTTTATGCAAACAATTCTAACTAATCTAAAATTATAAAACAAAATAATTGGTTACAGTACAAGATAGGGATGAGACCAACAGAATTGAATCAGCTGTTTTTTGAGTTTTTGTGGAGCAATTCAATAGTGGATCATTATTATCTTTATCATCACAATAAACGATAGAAATCCACTATGTATCATGTTAAGAATGTTTAAAATTGTTTGAAAGAATTCGCTTTGTCACCACACAGTAAAACGGACAATGTTAGATGTATCAAATACTCACTCCACAATGTACACATTTTATGTAACACACAAATCAATCAGTTTTTATTACAACATACTTTGTTCTTAATAGACACGCGAAGATAAACTATTTTATTAAGCTAACATTGAATAAAAGATGCGAACCGATGAAGTAAGAATGCTAAATTCGATAACGACTTGTTCATATCTACACGGCAACAACAACAACTGTTCTTCAAATAATTTCATATCGGTAACTCTTCAATGAATTATTTATTGATGAAGATCTTGCAGTTGATGATGAGGTTTGCATTGAACTGTTTGTGATTGTGCGAAAGATTCAATAAAACAAACTTCTTACATGGATAATTTAACAATCAGATAAATGTAGTCATGTGTTTGTGTTTCTACGAAATTGAGATCAGAAAACGGGTATTAAGGAATGGATAAACGCTGAACTCTATCAAGCTTGATTATTCCTATCTGCAAAATACTTTTGATTTACACAGATAATTGGACTATGAAATTAGAAGTGGCTTCAGGATTACATTGTCATCTGAGAATCGCTTAAGGGTGACCCTACTATGAACTTTTACCCATTTTTCTAAAGTGTTTCCTCCAAGACTAATTACTACATAAATCTTGTTTAACAATATATACAATATATTGTTACATGAGATTTAAGTAGTAATTAATTTCAGAAAATAATTATAACTTTATAGTATTGTCACGCTGGAGCGATTCCCAAACTGACAATGTGATCCGGTAGCTAATTACTACATAAATATTGTTCAACAATATATACAATATATTGTTACATGATACATAAAACCACTCACCCCATATATTATCATTTCGATTAATATAAGTTGGAGTATATTTCTTTTTATTTTCTGGACCACAAAATCCAAGCCAGCTTGGATATTTTTGTAAATAACTCGTTTGATCGATTAGTTCAAAAACAGAAACAGTAGAATCCAAGAATTCTTTGATCTTTTCATCTTCTTTACATGATATTTCATCTTCATTAGAATCTCTGTCAGTTGAGAAATTCACAAAATTTAATTAACAACTAAATTATGCATGACACAAAAATACATCGGAATAGTTAACAGATGAAATGTGCACAACAAAAATACACGTAAGAGTAAAACACTTCCGAAATTCAATCACGATTATTTTTGGAAAACGAACATGTTTAGTTGGTTTATCAAGAATATGAATTTGACAACAGAATATAAACCTTATTAATTACTGAGAACTAGGGAGCATTCAACTGCTGGGACTTCTCAATCATTGCTTAATCGACAAACCTGGAGTTAGGTTTCGTACATGGTAAATGTAATAAATGTAATTAATGCTAAAATACTTGACAGATATGATATTGGTCACTAACTAATGATCAACCAGCTATCAGTATTTCTATTCCACAGTAAGTCAGTTAACTTTTGATGACACCTCAGACTGTGATATACTTTCAAATCCACCAAGGAGAACCAGAGCCTTCATTACAGGTATCTCTTGCTAAGGAGTGCCAACTAGAACGAAGCCCAAGTCCTTGAATTCCTGGCGACTACCTACAACCACTTAACGAAAACAAAGTTGAAAGTTACAAGGTAAACTGTATAGAATTCGACTAGTGAAACTGACATATCTGTTTATTTGATAGAATGTAGGTGACATACACTGTATGACATCTGTTAACTAGATGAAGTATCGAGAGATGGTGGTAGATAAAGCACCATTACATGAGGATGACAAGGAACAAATTCAATCAAACAAAAAAACCTGTCTTTGGAATCACATTATCATTTAATACATCTTCAACAGATGTTTAACATTTTACAGAACACAATTGTATTGAGTTGTGAAGCAATCGTAAAATTTAAGTATCCAAACGTTAATTACCGATTACTTAAAAAAGTAACTCAATTAGTATGATGAAGAATATGGTTTCATAGTTGAGAAGTAGTAATTATCTGATTCACTAGTCAAATATAAAGAATGCAGAGTAGATAAAATTGAAGTGGATACATGACAACAAATCAATAACTATAAATAATCAGAAGAGGACAATATCAACAGGTTATAAGAAATGAAAAATAAGAAAATGGTTAGAATTATGATAGAATACGAGATTGGATACGCCTTTTTGGCATACAGAGTTTAGACTTAAATTAATGAATTTCTGTCTCCCCTATAATGCACAGATTATTTTTCACCTATACTCCACGTCAGTTAGTTTTCTGAGTGTGGATAATTTTGGAATGTAAACCTGGTGGAACAGAAAACTACCGGATTCTTTCAAAAATATAGCTGTTGGTGAGTAAAGCTTTGTATATACATTGGTGTGGTGAAAAGCGACAGTTTATTCTTAACGTACACACCAGTTAGCAGGCTATTGACGTGTACAGCACATAACTCATCATAAACGAATATTTTTGTTAGAACTTGAGATAGTGCTTTATCTCCAAATTAAATTTTGATGAAAGAAGTATTCTTTGTCAATGTAAATGATTTTTCTGGTTGCTATCATGGCTTCAAAGTCTTGTCGATGGATCTGAAGGGTAAATGGTAAGTATATATATATATATATATATATCATTTGAGTGCACAATGTTAATAGTTGACTAAATCAATCGATAGACACATTTTACTTATTAGTTGAACAATCATCCTTGAAACACTTTTTCCCACTATAAATCATTAAAGTCCACTACTTCCCATAATAACTGCCTGTAGCTCTTCTAGCGTTACTGCCGGTCCCAAGCCCAAGTAGAGGAGGAGGGTTGGGCATGGGGTTAGCGACCCCCTCCCGTAGAAAACTAAAACCACTCCAACCAGAAGAAATAATTCAAACCACTTCATATAATAGAAATGTTTGTTCCTCTGGCATCAGAACCAACACTACTTTACACAAAAACACCATTTGTACACACAATTATAAAACATTTTCTTGTTGAAGTAAATAACTAAGTATAAATTTCGTTAAATTTAATGCACAACTCTGTGTTTATCAAGAAAATACCCAATGCAAACAGCACATAAGTTAATATTAATCTGTTCTTTTGATAATGATAAAAAATAATATTTTGTAATAGAACTATCAGAAATACAGTACATGATAAACAAATGTAAACATTTGACTACAAATTTAAGCAATGATGCTTTTGTTGATACCACACACACACACATCAATATTAAACACATGACTGGGTATACATACATATCTACTATAGTATATGTTTGGAAAAATGTCAGAATCTCAGCATCACCATCATCATCATTAATCAATTCATTTATTTTGATGATTGGGTTATTTATTGTGTATATAGTGTCATGTGCATTTGATCATTTTCTTTACGTAGAATAATAATTATATTACCTTTTACAGGAGGGGGCCACTTAATCAAAAGATAGACGAAGAAGGAGTAGGAGTGGCATAAGATTCAAGTACACATACCATTTGTGTATAGTTTAGGATAGGAAAAATTAAATCCTTGATTAATCGATCTAGTTAGATTACCAATACAGAGGGAATTAAATACTCAGTCAACGGCATATTATTTATTGAAGTCAGATATAGAAGAAATTAGCCTTTACAACTTAACAAAACAAATATGAGAGTAATAAAAGTACGAACAGTATCATTAGTAGTAGAAAATATTCAGCGCATACAATACGACTGAAGAAGAATGAAAATATCTACAGAATAAAAAAATGTAAGAAAATTTAAAAAGTGTGAATTGGAAGGAAAATTGGAGAGTGAATGAATCTGAATCATAGTACTTGATTCTCAGTCAAATCACACCAACATCTACAACCATTAGTCATGATCACAATGACATTAAAAGAGATTAGAAAAAAAAAGATAGATTACAACAGATATTAACACTAAGTAATATATTGACATTTTCGAACATTTTTACAAGTATAAATTATGAGAAGGGGTTTTGTGGAGATTTTGAGACTGGTCTGGGTCCTGTGTTCGAATCGTGCGAGGTGCAAGGTCGTGGATGCGCACTGCTCCTGAGTCCCATACTAGGACGAAACGGCCTTCCAGTGCTTCCAGGTTTTCCATAGTGGTCTTGCTTCAATTGACTCATGATTTCAACTAGCGAAATATAAATTAGTCAACCGGAATGAAGAATTCAACTTGTTAAAAGTTTAACATGCATCAGTTTTTCACAAACCATAAACACAATGTGAAACAATCGACAGTTGTACAACTTTGCTATCGAACCTTACCATTGTGGTACCGCTTAGTCATAAAACTTTTACGGGACAAGAAAATATCTAAGAGCAAACGCTCTAGCCAATATATCGATATATTGGTATTGTCGTAAAAGTAAAGGTTTAACCTCCAAATCACAAAAGCATCTAAGATCAGAACCACTTAATTAACGTTAACAACATTCGTTTAAAATGTACATTACAGATTGGTCTCACTTAAACAGGCACTGTTAAAAAAAGTCATTAAACAGCTATTTCGTTATAGTATGAAACTCCTCAGCAGTATCTATTCCCTTCACCGAGAATTGGAACTATGACCTTTAGATCCTACCACGAACACCTAATATCCAAACTACTAAGTCAACATTTCTAACTTCAATCGATTTACAATATTGCGCAACAACAAACCAATATCATTGGTGAGTTAGGTATATTTATTTAAATGCAAATAAAAATCTTTACTCACATATCAGAACCTTGACTGAAGGCATTACGACCACCAGTGTCACTGGCTCTTAACGGACTCTAAAACGTTGATGGAAAATTAAAAATTAAAAAAAAGTCAGAAAGATCGTTTTTGAAACATTTTGAATTGCCAATAATGGTAATTTGATGTATACATGTGCAGCGTAGAACCTATACGTATGTGCATAGGTTGAAGCTATCACAATATATCAGCACAGAGGGATAAAATCATCAAGACAAATATGAGATTAGTAGTAGTAGTAACAGCATCGGTGGTAATAGAAAAGTTTAGAGATAGATGGTAATTGCACGAACATCAACAAGGCGATTTGAGCTTACAAAAACGATCCAGTCAATGATTTCATGGATTGATGACACATTTCGATTTTAGCCAACACCCCTTACCTTTCTTCCAAGCTAAATCTACACTAGCTGACATCGTGAGTTGAGGTAGGGATTATTGGAGGGTGTACCTAGTATATGTTCCAACCGCCTCATTTGATCAACCAATTTGTTATCTTTACGCAGTACATATACTAAATATGCTTCGAAGGCATACATGGTCGAATACTAGTAATGTACAAATACCCTCGTTTTACAGCCGTACAGCAAGATAGAATGAACCCACATGTATCTTGATGAATATTTTTTTTCGTATAACTAATTTTTTTTTTCAAATCTACAATAATATGCCGATAAATATATCACAGGTATAATTGATGTCAAATATCAAAACTAATTATTAAAATTTACCACCAAGTCATCGTACGTACTATCGTTACAACATGACATTGCATTATAATCACATGGATATACACAAAATCATCAGGTGAATTACATATGATTTGTTTTGTGTATTCTTACATAACAGTTTGGTTCGTTTGTATATCTGTATGTGTGTTTGTATGCATGTGTCTATAAACACACACACACACACTGGAGTAATATCATCGTGCTATAACATTATTTAAATGATTTAAACAGATTTGATTAATTTATTCGTTGAAAATTCACTATTAAATCAATAATTCAATGTTCCTATCTTCATCAATTATTAGTCCAGTCTAACACAACTGTTGACTTGGTCAGTTATTTGTGCTAACTGAATCGATTTTGGACAAATAAGTGTGTGTTCGATTTGACCAGCAGCGGGTTTGTGTGCATTAAAGGAATAAAAAGTTTTATTATTATTATTATTATTATTATTATTATTATTATTCGATGTCAGTCCCTTAACTAGGTATAAACGGTAATAAGCTGATGCTGTAGTAGGGTAAAAATACAATACAACGTTTAATTTTCAATCTGGATGTGTAGTCATTTAAATGATGTACTTTTAATGTGATGTAAGATGGATCAACAGTTAATCAATACGTTGAATCAGCTAGCTGTTAAAATAAGAGCCTATTATTATGAAATCACTCCACCGAACTTTACAGATTTTAAGGAAAGGTCAATGATCAGTTACAGTCAGTTAGCTACAATGTATGACAAGGCTCATATGTGCATCAGTCCGAGTTGCCACACCCACTATAAGATGGTGGTTGGAGGTAATCCACGGGAAACCCTGGACCTAGGTTGCGTGCTATTTGGCACTCGTGTACCTGTAATCTTGAGGGAACTGATGCTCCCTAACGGATTTGATCCCGTGTCACCCAGCTTCACAGTCACAGCCACACACAAGATGAACACCAAAACTCATAGAAGTAGTTACTTCAATGGTAGTAATATATAAAAGAAATATTTCGTATAAGGATATAATACAAGAAAGAATTAGTTTGTAGAAACACAGGTATAAAGTAATTTTAATCTCAGTTTACAGCAGGTTTTCATGAGTAATGATAACGAAAGGTATAAAGGAAAAGTGATCTGTAGAGATCTACTTCAAACAAATATATACTACTTTTTCGCAATGAAATAATAATATACTGGTCAAAACCAATATGATCGGTCTCTTTCATCACAGAAACACTTTGGGGTTTGAATTAAGTACCCTAACAAATATTGAGAAAATCGAGGATAATACAATAATCAACAAATTAAACTAATCTCCACAAAATCCCTTCAATCAAACTTAAATATTCAACTCACCCTGAACGTATTCCAAGGTTTTCTTGTAACTCTACTGATAAGTCGTGGCTGGAGGAAGTCAAAAATATCGGGAATGAAACAGTTGTCACCGATACCATTGTATGATCGTCTCAATGTATCGTGGACTAATAAAAGTTAGAACTGTATCACTGAAAGCCGATCCAGTAGTTCTAATGCCTAAGCATTCACCGAGAAGTTTAAAGGTTTTGCATTCGATTTCTAGTGGGGTCAAGGGTGTAAACTGGAAAGTTTTACACATGGACGATACAACTTCCAACCGCTACCTAGCTTTTAATGTTACCCCAACCGAGATCAATTTGTGACGAACACAACCTACATATTATATTATCTCTTGAATTAAAATCACGATATGAATTGAAGGGATGAAGGGATGAATATGAAGAGAAATACTAGTAACTCAAGCAAACAACTTCCTTTACAGATTAAGGTTACAAAACAATTTCAAATATTTGAATTTAGGTGTACAAGAGTATTATTACTAATATTTACATAATATATTTACCAAACACTCCTGATAAACAAACTTGCATTGTCTTATCAAATTTTTACTAAAATATGATTTAGTCATTAGGTTAGTTCACATCCAACTACCACAGAGGGTCACAAGTTTGACCTCTGTCCTATTTTGTACACAGTAGATCAATGACAAAAAACGTTCTGCCAAATCTGAAAACCATCTGTAGTTAGCTTTGTTATTGCAAATATTAATGAGATATACAAAGAAGAAGTATAACTTATTCATTTGATTACAAAATAATAATAATAATAATAATAATAAATATATTTTGTGAATATACACTTACTGAGGCTGAACAACATATTGAATTGAAAAGAACCAGTCGATAGGAGTACAATAAATGAATATTATGATCGGAGTCAAGTATACAGTATATATTTATTCATGTATACCAGTGTTTAAGATAATAAGCATGAATATTTGCAACAAACAAAACAGAAATATAAAATGATGTGAGGTTTTTGAAAAAAAAATAATAATAAAGTAAAAGGATGATGGTTTTTAGGGAGAAAAAAACACACCAACTAACACCAGGAGAAATATCTTTAAAATTTGGATCATTACAATAAGGGTGCTGACCCACAAATGCCCTGGTATGGCCGAAAGTGAGGAGAGTCCGCTCACCATCTCGAAATGCTTTCGCATGGCCACGCGTATAAAGCCTTTGTCAGGGAAGTCCTACTCACTGCCTTCTCGTCGCATTAATGTTGTTTACGAAATTGGGAGAACGAAAAGTCAATGTCCGCGCTTTAACCGGGTTGGTAGATACGGAGGATCCCAGTTAGGGGAGTTGGAAAACCCTGATTCCAAACAAATCGTGCACATCGGTTCCAGTACTCTGAGGGAACAAATGGCGTATGAACCTATTATTGTTCACCCGCTACCATGGGACTGCATCTCCTTACGATGCTCCACAGCCTTGTTATCATCAAACCTTTAGGTCGAAGGCTCCGGGTGTGGCCCCCTCAAAAAACCACCTGTTTCGGTTTGGGCACCTGGGCAGTATCACAGTACTCGCACAAACCAAATGAGATTTGTGTGGCGCATATGTATTTGGTGCCTCCTTGTACCAATATATATATGTGTTCAAATAAAATAAAATAAAATAATAGGGGTGTTGACAAATATTTTATTGACTTTGGGTAGTGAGTACTAAAAGAAGTACAAGTGTGGGATGTAACTTTTTAATTATGTATGTCTTAGAAGCACATCTTGCGTTTCAAACCAGTTTATTAGGTCAAGAATCTGCACTAACCGAGGTTTAGGATTCGTGTAATGCATGCCTGATTACGGTTCACCTCTTACGTATTTTACGACGTCTGAAGCAATAACGATGTTGAACTATTAGATAGTTTTTTTTCAGTTCTAAATTATGTAGTTTACATCGAGGACTAACTTGACTTAGACAACCATTGAACATAAAGAAGCTGATAAAATAGGACATTGAACCACTTTTTCAGGGAGGAAAAAAATGGTTCTGGATATGTGGCATCAAAGTTCGCAAAATAAACGTTTTTACTATTTGATAGTTGATGAAAACATGAAATGGACCAGTTGACCAGCTTTTATTGCCACAATATTGATATCACGGTAATAATTATTATCATTACGGTTAACTTACTTTAAACTTTATCCGTTGGTGCAGATTTAAATGAACTTTTTTCAAAAAATTTGTGTGATTATTATTACGCATATAGAAATAGACTTACGAGTATCTTGTTGGGATGACGTTGAAGTTGATCTAACTGTAATCACTCTGACTGTATTCATCCTACTTGAATCAACCTAAACAACATTGAAACGAAAGAGTAAAATAATCTAAACATTCAAAAATGAAGTATACTTCGAAACGTAATAACAGACAAACATGCATAAACAACGTGAGACTGTAATGTTCTGCAGTCTAATTCAATTCCGAAATACTCTTCATAAGGTATACCAAACCCAACTATGAGATTGAGAGAATTGTTAAATGAGTAAGAACGCTTAATAGCCAAATCTAATTATAATGTATACGAATCATAAGTATATATACACGATTATCTTTCCGACTTACGGAACGATATGTAAACTGAAACCTTGACTAGGTCCCTGATCAACTTCATCCAATACCATGCCTCATTATTAATTTCTCAACGCATATTTGATCTTAAGGTGGCCTGTGAACACATGCACATGATATATCTGCACTCGTTCAGTCTATCAGAGAATTGAGTGAATGAGTATTGTTTAAGTTTGCCACTACTCATTTACACTAACACAACGAAAATAAAGTCAGTATGTGAAAAAAAACAAAGAGGAGGTAATGGTAATAAAGTAGTGAGAACACAAAAACAAAAAAATATATGAGCTTGAGCTTATGAAATATAATATGTTCACTGCGACTTATTATCAGCCACATCATTTGGAGTCTCTAACTATAAATTGGTATAATCGCTCAGATTACGCATACGGATGAGATAAAAATTAGATAGCTGTATAGATTAAAGTTTCGATCTAAATGTGAACACTTATTCGTCTTCTTTGTGATTTCTATATTAGTTACAATAGCTTGTCTAATCAATGTCTTCATGACTTTTGATAGCCTTTTATTTGATGTTAGCTAGTAATGAAGACTGTATTTAAGAACATAAACTGTGTTGATAGATAGTACGCTTGATACAACTATGAATATTATTGTGTAATTAAAACTGCAGTGTTCACAGATTAGCTTTCTAATCGTACATCACTAATAAGGATTTGAACCATCCCGCTGTTGATATTCAGATCAAAATTTTACCAGTCTCTGCTGGCATATTTGCATTTAGTGAGGAATATCCAAATTCAGCCACTTCGTTGCAAGTATTTTTCAATAAATGAATTATGGGAAGTAACGAAACCCAGGACGCGTATCCCATCCTATTGGGAGATCGTCAGCGAGATTTACAAGAATGTGCATCGTGGAATATATATATATATATATATATATATATATATATATATATATATATATCGAGTAAATTTGGCTTGGACAGTAAGCTACTGTGGTGTATGCTACTTATATTGACAGGTATAAGTAATAAGTGGCACCAATAGGAAGTGGAACACTTGTGAGCAGATTGAAATGAAAAGAACGATAATGTAAACAGAGTGACTGTAATAACAACAGCGATGAAGGAACGATGAAGTTTATAAGAGACAACCAATAGAAGATGTGCAAATGATGTATTTAACGTATGATTTTCATATTTTATAAAGACACTCGATAATCTCACACTAAACAATAAATGAATTCTTCCCACCAAGCGTTCGTTCACTGCAATACGACATGTTACGTCTTGTTACAGGTCCATGGTACTAAGACAGTACGTAAAACTATTCATTAATTGTGATCACAAATATTATTGAATTATTGATTTCATTATGACCTTAAGTCTGTACATTATTTGTGCACAAATCCACTTTATTAGTAGACAATAATCATTATACAAGAATGTCATCGTAGTGTCAATAAGCATACCAACTACCAATCATTTTACAATGATGATTTCAATGTACATGGATACTTATTTGTTTTAAAGTTACTTCTAACATATAAAGAAAAATGTAATACAATAAGCCATTAGGAAATTCACTAGTATATGAAATAAAATCACAACATAATTGTGAAGACATAAAAGGCAGAAAAAGATCATTTAGAAGAAGTGAATCGAAAAGTAACTCATTCGGAATAGAAATAGATTATATTTACGGAAGGTGTTCAAAAAAGGAACAAGAAGCTGTTCTACATGAAGTGACAACAGGGAAGCTTAACGACCTCATAATAACACAGTTTTAATTGTTTGTAAGATCTAAAGTTTAAGGTATTGCTTAGTACATGACTGAAACATACGGCACTGAATGACTGGTTAGTTATTTTTCTTAATTTTATTTCTTCTAGTTTTTATGGTACCATCATCATCAACATTCACCATATGCAACTAATGATTTCATCAAGATATTCTCATACACATCAAAGAGAAAGGATAGATCAGTAAGCTTCAATGTCGCGCTTCAATACATAGCCATTGATAAGAACAAGAATATTGACAAAAGATTGGGAGCTTAAATAAGGAAAATAAACCAATAGCAGTAATAGACGACATCAACTGACTTGGATGAATATGCATCAATGAATGTTCCTGATCGGTGTCAAGTATGGTGGAATAACATAAATGGTGATTAGATGATGAAATATGATCAGATTTGACGTTTTTCTATGTTAATCTAAATCGTCAAGACATCAGAAAACAGGCTGATTGTGAATTACTCGACAGATCGGCAATCTCTGACCTATTTGAGTGGTAAAGGACATCTATCGGTTGTCGCATACTTTTGTTATTTATTTCCAATACTTTCTATGCCTATGCTCAATGTTCGAATTTCAGTCTGAGAACAACAAGAAACCAAATGATATGTGTGAGTGACCTAAGAGAATAAGACATTTTCGGATTTCATGGCGTTTAAGTGAAGCATATTTTTCTCAGCACTAGTTCATTCATTCATTTTTTGAAGTCGAAAGATGTACAGTACAACGATAATAAAGTAAATGATTATAAAATGAAACAAAGTACAATTTATATGTATGCACTATTGATCAGTATATATATATATATATATATATATATATATATATATATATATATATAAGGTCACGTATACAATTAGAGCAAAAAAATCAAGTATATGCACGCAAATATTGAGTATGTACATAACCAGAAATGTAATTGTTCACAATGAAATCAAATGACTGGCATTTTACTGAAGATTAAGGAAATTACACTTAGATTTGAGTACATTTTTAATCTCAAACAAGAGTTATTTTATGATAATATTTGATGAACTCCAAAGTATAAACATAAATGTATTCAAATTTAAATGTAAAATAAATAGTTAAATCCCAAAGTAGAGCTAATCCGTGTCGGGTAGAAACAGGTATCTACTTCAGTACGATGGAAGATGATCGCGCAATTTCGTGGATTGGTCGAGGTTAGACCTTAACACCTTTGGATGCCGACTCAGTGGTCTGGTGGGTCAAGTGTTCGCGTGCGAGACTGAAGGCCCTGGGTTCGAATCCCGCGGGCGGAATCGTGGATGCGCACTGGTGAGGAGTCCAACAATAGGACGAAACGGCCGTCCAGTGCTTCCAGGTTTCCAACTGTGGTCTAACATCAGTCGATTCACGATCTCAATCAATAACCCAATAATCTCTACAACCCTATACTGATAAATCGCAAAATGATATTTCATGTTAAAAGTGAACATGGGAAATTAGAACATGGTTGATTAACTGTACATAGGTGCGTAAGTGCTTACGTTTTGAATAGTGGCTTCAGAATGATAAAATAAATTAGGGCAATTACTTATACGTAATGAACAGAAACACAGCAGTCTAAACTAAAAGTGATGGGGTCAACTTTTTTGACGATGTAACATATAATTATCGGAATTGAATTTTTTTTGAAACTGGTAAATGTTAGTTTAAATACTACACTACAGTCGATTAATAATCAAGTTATGTAGAGAGAAAAAAAAACGAGAAACTGCTATGGTAACTGAAAATAAAATCATATAACATTTTTTTTTATAAAATCATCAGGGTGAAGAATATCTCTAGAAATAGAAGGGATAGATGGACGCGCAGGCTGCTTGGTCGTAGAATGTAAATACTTAGTAGAATGTTAACTAATTATAAAGTTAAGACAGTACGGCTTTGTAACTGCTATCACTCTAAGAGTCATTTAATTGTTGCTTTACGATAGATAAATAGTAAGATCAGTAGTCAGACATTAGATGTTTGTCATTCATCCAAAGTGGAGTACACCCTAGGCATTATGAAAGACTTTTATTTCACAATAGCCAACATGATAAAGGAGTGTACATATCAGTCATTCTTTGCATGGCTGATTTCCTTAATACTTAAATCTAATAATCATTCGAAAAGGTATGTAAGTAAAATAAATATGTTTCAGTTCTGTAGGTCAAGGATTCTCTTTCAATGTCTGATTGATTTACATTTACAAACAGATATGTTTGTAGGAGTAGATATTACTATCGATAATATATATGTGACACTTAAATAAGATAACAAATACCTATGATATTTTAACGATTGAAATCTAGAACTAAAGTCAAGTTTCGTTTCGTTTAATTGTAAAACTTTTTAGAAGTTAACCTTTCATTTTTATTTTAGATAATATTGTATCAATGACCATTAAAATGCAAACACTTGTGTAGTTAAATTCATTTTCTATGATTTGTTTGAATCTTCCCATTGATGTTTAGAACCGCATTGGATCAGTCTCTTATTGGCTTATGTACAACTTGTAAGGATTGCCTCGATATTACCTTAAACCAGTAGCATTATAAGCAAAGATGGATAGTGGTTAGCAGTGGAATCCAGGATGCGCATCTCGTCCTATTTGGAACTCGTCAGCTGGATGTACCTGCATCCTAGAGTTGGTGTATGTGTCTAGATTTAATTTTAACATCTGACTGAATTTATTGGCTAATATGTAAATAATATATTATGAAAAGTAATCTTAAATTTAATAGAATGTATCAAAACTCATCTGAAATTCTTATTCATAGTAAATATTCCAAATATATGTTTAGTAGGTTTTATCTAATTGAGAATGCATTTACCTCATCACACATTCTTCAATAACACAAAATATAATAGTAATTGCAAGTTCAGTTCATCTAAAAAAAGAAAGAAATCTATAAATATAACAGTTGAACTTTTGGAAAATAAACAAAGAAAAACATGTGAATTGAATAAAAAAAAAATCAAATAAGCAATGCAGTACAGTGATTATGGATTTCCATAGTTGTTGTTGAACTCATAGGTTTCCTACAATTACGATTTATCCTATTATCTTCTGAAATTGATCATTACAAAATCTGACTATAGAGCCTTTTGTTTAAATCATCACATTGATAGTCAACATTGAGTCAATTTAACACTACAACTAAAAAATGTCTTTTGTATACAATCGGCAAGAGTACCAGAGTCTGGACTTTGTGATACACGTCATTATCTTAAAAGGATAAGGTTGATGATCTTTGCATTATTCGACTACAGTTATAAAACCGCTATACTCTTCGCATAACCAGAAAATAGTTAGAATTTCTGATACTAAACAACGGTTAATTAAATTAGCTGTCCGCTCTGAAAAAAACGTTCAAGCTAAACTGTAAAAAGAAAAATATTTAAATTGACTACTAAAGAGAAAACCAGTTAGTATCATCAACTCTGACAACTGGTTCCAAATATATACACTAAAGTCAGTCAATATAATAACAGTGTCAATACTGTCAAAAGCTAACACTTTTTGACACTTATGAAATAATCAATTACCTATGAATTCTAATTGCATTTTAATTACATTCACTAATTGACTGAACAAATGATGAAGTTACAAATGTAGTTGACTAAGCTGAAGTAACTGACCTTTCAATCTTAAAAAGTTATCTTTAAATAAGGCACACAAAAACAACTGCAAAAATACAAATATCTACCTAAAAAAATATCTAAAATAAGATTTAATTCTTGTTGAGTGAATAGGAACAAACGAGAGAAGTGAATCGTTACACTAACACCAATCATACGTACCGTAGTACCTAACACACGAATAGATAAGTTCGAATTTCCACAACTTATTAGCACAAAATGATGAAATTATCAGGGCAAAAGACTGTTGTGATTAAAACTTCTAAAACCAAGAGATGATTGTTGTCCACTGACACATGAATGAGATCTTGATTGAAATTTCGTGCGAAACATCATATATTAAATAATCACTTTATTTTTATCCCAAGTTAGTATTAAATATGATCGATTAATAACCATTGGGTTTTTAGCTGAGAGAGCTTTTCTAGGTTGACACAGCAATCACAAAATAAACACACAGTATTCACCTCTTAGCAATCGAATCAAAATGTGTAGAAACGTTACAGTAATTCGTGCGGGTTTAAATATACCCAATAAGGATTAAAACGTATTATCATGCCTAAGTGACTGGAAACAGCTGTAAAGAGGTGCGTGTTTAACAAGGAAAAACTACAGCGACATTTATAAGGAATAATAGTAGTAATTATAATGTTCGAATTATGCCTCAGATAAATGTACCATGACGAGATTAATAATAAAAATGACTGAAGTGATAATACTATTATCATAATAAATTTTCTTTACTTCAATGGAATATTTTTCTAATTTAGGAACAGCCACTAATTATTGAAATTTTGGACACTGTAAATCACGATATTTTTATGAAAATGCCGAAAATATCACAGAGTAGTCATATGATTAGGTTGCTCAAAATTTTTTACATAAAACAGATTTAACCTAATTAAAACCAAAACACATCAATTGAATAAGTCATCTTGTTCATATGTGTCTGATCTGTATATAGATGTACACGTTTTCTAAAAAATATAGTACAAAAAGTAAAAAATGACTTTGCTAATATAAGTACGTTTTACAAAGTTTCACTGGTGTGTGTTGATCTATGCTGGGGAAAATATGTTCCATATGAAGAAACATTCCAAAATCTTTTTACGGTTTTTCAACATAGATTACAAAATAGATTTCCTCATAGCTGTATATACTGTAAAAATAAGGGCTGACAAGCACCCATAACTATACTGAAGGGCAGATAGTTATCTGAAGCACTACAGGATGAGTAACGGTGTCATACATAACACAGTACAATTAGGATTAAAGTTACCGAATGATATCCACGGTCTACAAGCAACGGTTTTGCCAGAGGACAAGGCTGTAGTAGATTTAATGCGTGCTGGCAGTCATCCACAATGTTTAATAGTTGGTTATATTCAACCAACAACACATAAAATTTGGGCGATGTTAAACTGACCTTGAGTGTCCGCCTAATAACTAGAACCGAGTGAGGGTTATAAATCTGTGTGAGGAACTAAAATTATGATTTACAGTTGATGGTTAGGGTTAGGAATTACACATATGGTTTTCATCACGAACTGACATCAGCTGTAATGCCAAAACTCTAATAAGCCGAATGGATGGGTGAATTCGAGCCAAAATCCGAGACCTGTTATCTTATACGTGATTAGTTCGTTTATAAATTAAAGTCTCGCCGTTTAAAGACAGAAAACTACTCAAAATGAAATGGAGGTAGAGTTGGATCAATTCAATACAGAATGATGATTTCCATCATCTTAATATTTGTATGCTAATTTAGCAGCTCAAGTTTTTTGTCGAAAAATCCACCTAATAGCTTTTGTCACCGAGCAATATACAATATACAGCAATATACAAACCTTTCACTTGACAAATAGTTGTCATAGCTGAAGTCTCACGAGACACGTAGCTTTAATACAAATTACAATTAAGACATGCAAACTTACAAATTATAACAAGTTTATTCCATAATAGGACGGAGAAAATCGACAGATAGGAGACTTGGGAACAAACAGTGAATAGGTGACCCCAAAAAAATAAATTTTTCTCAGCGAAAAGTTTGTATCCTGTATACATACTTATTATGAACGTATAAGTCCTAATTTTATAGATAACGAATATAACTACATACAAATAAATGAATTTAAAAAGAACGATTTCAAGTCCGAGAAGGCTTCAATGATGGGCCAAATATTTTGTAAATGCAATGAAAACCAAGTTGAACTAATGGTTTGTTACTGAAAAAAGTTCTCTTTGTTAATTGATGGGTTAATATTAGGTTTTGTTTGAGCTCTCACAAATAAATAAATAGCTTTCTCATAACTCGGTTATCCAGAAGTTCATATAATTAAGGCTGCACTGTGTTTCTGGCGGACAAGTACGGTTACTTAGACCACAATGATTAAAGAAAAGTGAGACACTTCGAACAACAAACACGCTTACGTAAACTTATATCCCCCGCGAAAATCTGTAAATCTTTCTCAAACATGACCTACATAATTGAATTAACTCAACAATAAAAAATGTATTCCTAAACAAAAAAAACATATGTTTGAAAATATATCAGTGAGACTACGTTCATAGCTGTTGAATTCATATGCTGACCAGAATTTGAACGGACTTGGATACATCAGGAACTTGCATAATATAGTGAACGGATCTGTTACACTTTTACCCTGACGGTTATAGATACGAGGTCAAATGACTTACGTTCACCTTCTAGATTCCTAACGCCGTAAGACGAGAGTCCCACATTGGTCATCTTAATAGAACGTTCTGGTACTGCCCGTTCTAGTAGAGAGCACCAATAATTCACGACTTTCATTTGTTTCTCCTTTACACTTATAAGTCAATTGTTTACATTAAAAAACAGACCGTTTCCTTCCATGTAACACAAAATGACTCCGAAAACAGCTTTTTACAAATCGCTTATTCTAATTGTGTAACGGTTGTTAATCAAATGTTTGCAGTGATTTCATTTGCCTGGCTAAATTTTTCATATTTCCATGCTCTTGGTGGTTTTAATCGCTTCAGAGATCTGATAGACAGCATTACTCTTGGATAATTAATCGTCTCCTCGAAATCTCCTAGGGGTTGCGTGTGAATAACATCAGGACCACTAGTTCACCTGATTTGAGATGGTGGAGCAAACATCAAACAACTCCCATTTTTGTCATCCTCGATATGACTAGTGTTTCACTATCACAAGTAAGGGAAACTTCACCAAATTAGTTCGATATTTATTCACCTTCTGATATCAGCGGAACTTCCGAAAACAGTACTGATGATGTTCTATCATATTCTTAAATGACTCTTCAATCAAGGTATAAACATGTTTCATTATCTCATTCTACGTATAAAAGATCTCTTAACCTAAGTTGTTACCCGTTGTCAACGTTTGTTATGTGCTAGTCTTTTTAAGCGTGGTATGACTGGGAACTAAATTTATTCGGTCGACAAGCTAGTGTTAACCAACCAGTCCGTTTCAACAGAACAATACCCCATGTTTGAAATAATTACATACATTTCATCCAGATAGACATAATCATGTGTTATATCATAAGCGCTAAACCTGAATGGAAAAAGCGTATGAATACGGTCAGATATCAGTCGAGGGGTATTCGGATAGGCAATATCCTAGGTTTCTCTGGTGATTAATTATTCCAAAAAGGAAGATCGTTAATATGAACTAAACTATTGGGTTTTGGATACATGTCGTAATAAAGCGTGATTCGTTGTAGTCAAAAGGGCGCTACCGTCTAATATAATACCAAACCCCATGTTCGACAAATCTCCTACATTTACACCTGGGATATTGAAGGATCCTGATACTAGATACTAATTACTTTAATTCCAGACATTTTAATTGTTTAAGTACGAACTCACGAGCACAGTGAATGAGGTAGTGTGATATGACGCCTTTTATATGTACACAACCGATATATGTGAATCCAAAACTGGTGGCTTCATAAGTCCCATTTTCATAGCAATTAGTAGCAAGAGAAAGTATACGTCTAATGTTATTACTGTACCATAAATCCCCCAATCGACGTAGATATTCCTAATATAGGTTTAGACCACGTGATTCTGATGCATTTCTTAACTTTAATTTATAGTTTGATGTCCCTTTTGGCTAGAATATTCGCTTATATATAAATAAATTTTGATCCTTAACCAAAATAACTCAGTTTGAATTAGATAACAATCAGTGCTGGTTTCATAAACATTCACTGCGGTCTGATTTTACGGCAGATCAAAGATGTGTCCGTTTCTCACGTTTTACTACTATCACATGATAACACAACTAACCACTTGTTTACTACCACTAGACTGGATACTTGATCGACATGTTAAGTACAGGTTGGTGACATGTTTCACCAAATACATGTTTCATAACCTAATAAATAGAATTATATGAAGGCTGTAGAATCATTCATTATAAATAACTACAAGAAGTTTGCACTCAATGAGTCCGAAAATAGGAATCAGTAATAGGAAAAAGGCCACACAATAGGCAGTTGATTAACATTTTTTCTTTAGACCCAGTGGTCAAAAATATCACATTTGTACTAGCCACACGTCACAACAATACTATAAACCATCGTTAGCGCACCGAATGTGCACACCTTTTTATATATATCCTGTAGAAGTGATAGAACCTTAAATTGTTACTGTATATACAATATGACATATTATTTTAAAATTTGAGTTTTATCGTTCGTCCTCATATAGTTCTTGGTTAAATTCCGTTATTTCTGTGATCTCTTGTTTGTACAATAATTCAAACACTTCTAATTATCATATTGGCGTCGCGATAGATTCTGCGGTATGAAAGCTGGACGTTCATTCAACCTCCAAAGCTTCTGAGGATTATTTGGAAAGGTTTTAAATGTAGAGAGTGACCAAGAAAGATGTGAATGGTGATAAAATTGAAACACATTTCCCTACATTCATCATAAAAGAAGCCTACAGTTTATTAAAAACATTGGCGTTTCCTGGAAAGCCTATTTTACTTCCTTATGCAACTCTTAAGGAACTATTGTTAAATCATGTAAAGTGCACCAATCTTGAATGTCATGAGGGGGCGACATTTCACAAGATGAATAATCAAAACGACCAGAAGGTTAGAGAATTCACCTGTAAGTTGCAAGAATAAGCTGCCGAACGCAATTTTGGTGATCAAGTTTATGTGTAGTTGAGGGATCGATTAATTACAGGAATTAACATACCAGGCCTGGAAAAAGGGTTGTTAAAAATGCGGAATTGCTCCTTTCAAGATGCTAGAACTGCATGTAACAACTACGGAGCAGTGAATGAGCTTGACATTCAGTCGAAGAAAATTTCTAAATTTTTGCATAGTCGTCTTGGCTAATCTCAGGTCGGTCAAACTTGCATTTGTTCAATAACGATTTCGTTGTGAGTGAATATATGATTCTAACAGGGTATTGCTAAGCAAATCGCGAAGGAGCACGTTTGGTCAATGTTTATCCGGTGAGAAAATGTTTTCTTGTAATTCATGTGAATTTCGTAATGCTAAATGTTTGAAATGAGTAAGTTAGGACACTTTCAGTCAGCATGCAAATTTACTGTTCATTTTGCATCAAGTTGTGCTAAATCCTGTAATTTAGATCCCATTAATTGAACTGTTCCAAATGGTCATTTATCTCTGTCCACCATTTTCAAAGATGATGCTTATATTCAAAAGCGATTATATACGTCCCTTGGTTCATTTCATGACTTTGTTGTGGACACAGGCAGTATAGAGTCCATTATTTCAATCTAGAACTTGGAATCTTTAGATCCTAACGTTATGGTAAAACCCACTGAAGTCTCAATTTTGAAGATTACCGGGCACAGAGTGCCCTTACGATGATGTTGTGAATTGATAATAACTGATGATATTTCTTCATACATGATTTGTAAATTTTTGGTTAGCGAAACAGGACTGTTAATACTTAGTTCAAAAAATTTGAAAAGGCTTAAAGTGGAGGTGTCTTTACTAGTTTTTAAAAAAATTCTAACGCTTTACTTAAAGATTTGATAGCTAAGTGTGCTAAGTATAGTGGAGGTATAAAAATTCAGCCTATAAAACTTCAAGTACAGTGGGATCCAGTCCTTTTAAAAAGACGAATAATTCCTTATGGTCCTCAAGAAGCAGTAAATAAAACATCGGACGATTTGTGTGCGAAGGGTATAACTGAACTGATTCAGTCCTCAACATGGAGCACTCCTATTGTTACGGCATTGAAGTCGGATAGCAAGACCTCCAGAATATATGGTGACTATATATTAACACGGGACTCCGATTTGTTGAAGAAAATATGCACAATGATAGAGGCTGAAGATATTCTAAATCAACTTCATGGTTCTGAAGTGTTTTCGAAGGTTGACTTAAAAGATGCTTATCTTCAAATCTATTTGGACTAATCTTCATCTATTTTGACAACAATTAACCCTTTATTTGGCCAGTTCAAACACAGCATCCTTCCATTTGGTCAAAGTTGTTCCCCAGCCACATTCTTGTAAATGAAGAATACGGTAATCAGTGGTCTTAAAGGCGTTGAAACTTATCAAAATGATCCTATTATTTATGTTTTTGTAACGCAGATCATGATCAGAGACTGATTGCTTCATAATGTTGTTTAATTGAGAAACATACTGCGGTGGATCCTAATAAGTATCCATTCTGTATATCTACTTTTGAATGTCTTGAACACCTAGTCGGTGGTAACGATTTTAAACCAGATATGAAGCGACTAGCTACACTGAAGAATGCACCATCACCCCAGATCTTACAGAACTGCGTTCACCAGCGGGCGCTCTTCAGTAATATTCCTGTTTTACTCAATTTCTCTTGTGCTAATTTTTTATTTCAAATCCGGAGATCGAATCCATTTAAATGGGGTGAGATACAGGAATCATGCGTACGAACTGTATTAAAGTTTCTTCAGGGTGATTATGTTGTTCAAACTTACTCCCTTATTGTAAATTCTCTGTTTATTACTGATGCAAAATCTGTGGATATTCGCAAAGTTTCAGAGCAGGACTATATATTCCCAATCTGTGTTTCGCGTGAACTTACTGAACAAGGTTATTCACAAACTCATCGAGAAGCATCAGCTGCGTTTTGTGCTGTGAAAAAACTTCAAGACTACAAGATTTGACACAGAAGTGCCGAAAAATCCAACATGTCGATCACACATAACGACAATCACTACAAGATAGACCTGTTAATACTTCAAACTGTCTGTTAGTGCAACATTTACCTGTGAGACGTCCAGATCTCATTAGTAAAACTCGTCGATATTTGGGATGTATACTCAATGCTATACGAAAAGGTTGGAATATTGATCTAAAACGTAGATTTCCTGTCTATTTTTCGAGGCGGGATGAGTTATACAGTACTCCGGATGGTATTTAGTGTCTAAACGACCGTGTTGTTATTCCTTCATTGCGTAGATGGAGATCTTCATAGTTGACATTTAGGTGTTTAAAAATGAAGTCATTGGC